CCCCAATGAAATTTACCTCGTTTCTCTTTTGAGGGCTCACCTACAGACCAATACCTTTCTTTAGACACCCCTACCAAGTTTCTACACCCAGCCGTTCTCTCAAATTAGCTGTGACAAAAACCCCGTTTTCCTCAATAAGAATAACATGAGATGGGACTTTAAAGGCCACTGGGGCAGAGCCCCGAGGGAATTTACCACGTTTCTCTTTTGATGGCTCATCTACAGACCAAGACCTTTCTTTAGACACCTCTACCGAGTTTCTACGCCCAGCCGTTCTCTCAATTTAGCTATGACAAAGAAAAACAGTTTCAAATTAATATATAGACTAGTGTACCTGTTGCTCGAATTCGAGCAATTGCGAAGCATTACAGGCGACTCAAAGATTATTGAAATACTCACGATCTACACAGCAGTTAGATATAATCAAAATCTTTTGTAAATATCTTATCAAAAATCTTTTCAAAAAGCTTATCTTGTTTTTTTAGTGTTTTCTACAAATTTTTCCCTCTCAAGCCGCATTAGGTTGTCTATTACAACGATTATAAATGAAAAAAAAAATTATTTCTATTTCTTCTACTTGGTTGTGTCCTATGACTTTTTCTATGTTTCCATTGTTTGCAAATTGATTATTTCAATGATTGCTCAAGAAATGTAGAACAGTGTTAATTCAGTTTTATTTTTAGTCTATATCTAATTGTCCAGGATTTTTCGCTCTTTTCTTTTCCATTGTAATAATTACACCAACCCAAGTTTCGTCTACAGATGCAATATGCCAACAAATATCACCTACGTACAATCTCTAAGAAGTGGTAAGAAAGGCAGAAACCAACCCATACAATAGATATAAGTTAACTCCAAAAGAAATAATTTTAAGAGTTACTGTGATATTAGGATTTTCCACTGATTTGGTAATAGAACCATTATATTGCAAAACATGTCACGATTCAGAAGAAAATCCAATTTAAAATCAGAAAAACCCATTGCAAATACTGTACTTCATTTTGACAAATTCAATAAATCACAATTTAAATATTAACAGCTGTTTCATTAAAAAGTAGTGTAGAACTATGCATATGGTCGTAATGTAAACAAATCTGAAGAGGCAACTTTAAAGGATTCTGGGGCAGAGCCCCAAGGGAATTTACCTCGTTCCTCTTTTGATGGCTCATCTACAGACCACGACCTTTCTTTAGAGACCCCTACCAAGTTTCTACGCCCAGCCGTTCTCTCAAATTAGCTATGACAAAACCCCCATTTTCCTCCATAAGAATAACATAGGATGGGAATTTAAAGGCCACTGGGGCAGAGCCCCAAGGGAATTCACCATGTTTCTCTTTTGATGGCTCATCTACAGACCAAGACCTTTCTTTAGACACCTCTACCGAGTTTCTACACCCAGCCGTTCTCTCAAAATAGCTATGACAAAGAAAAACAGTTTCAAATTAATATATAGATTTCAAGAGTGTAAATACTTTGGTTGTATTTGGTGACAAGTCCATTATTTATAGTCTTATGTTTGTTCTGGTTTATATTTCAAATGAATTTTAAAATAGTATTTATTACATTTCTTTTCACTGTTAAATAATTATGTATGGTCATGCTCATTATTCAAATTGCATTAAATATATTTAATATCCACACCACTGCAACTGTTTATCTTGCAGAGAACAAGAGACTTCTGGCAGAGGCAAAGCTTGCATTGAAGAAATCCAAGAGAAAAGACTACTACAAAATCCTCGGTGTTGATCGTAATGCCTCCACTGATGACATCAAGAAGGCGTACAGGAAGCGAGCTTTGGTCCATCATCCTGGTGAGGATTACATTACTAAATAAATGTGTGGTGAATATAGTGGGTAACACATTTTTTTTTTGCTTAGTGGTTATTTTGTTCAGATTAGTCGGAATCAAAATTAGACTCGAGGGTATTTTTAATGTGTATTTATCATAACTGTAGAGTTTCAAGTTTGTAGCATGTTTGATGAATGTGGTATATTGGATACAAAATAGTGATGACTTGGGGGACACTCAATACATGACAAATGTTACAATAACAATCAAATTTGGTCAGTTACACCAGTCACCATCAGCCACAATCAAAGACTGATGAGGACTGGTATAAGGCTTAGTCATATCTGTATAACGTCACAAACACATACAATGCTTAAGCCTCCATATATAATGCTTATGTTTATGTGTAAACTGTTTCTCTGTATTGTTAATTGTTGTGTTGAATACATTGAATTGAATTATTAAGGATAAAAGGGGATAAGAAGGGCTAGCTGAATCATCATGAGCTACTACAGTATAGACTCCCTCTTATCCGGACTCCTTGGGACAGAGGCCAGTCCAGATAGCGGGGTTTCCGGTTAAACCAACGTCCCCAAAAACTCGTAATGTAACCGAAATATTTTACTTAAATTTTTCGAGAGCATTGTATTTATTAAGGTTAAACTGATGTGCTGATAAAAATTGTTCGGTTAAAGAGATGTAATTTCCGCCGAGTGTAGTCCGGTTAAAAGATGTCCGGATAAGAGGGAGTCTACTGTACTATGGCTCCAACTTTAGGACACTTGATCAAACTTCACAGATCCAATGTGGATGAAAGATGTACTTTGCAGTTTATTTATTCAATCTAAGTTTTCATTCACAAACTATTAAAAACCACTTTAAATAGATTGAAATTCTATTTCAGTTCAGACAATCGATTAAATATGAGGCATAGTTGCACATAGTTACAACAAGCTATAAATGTACCGCTGGGGGACTTGGCGGGTTTATTTACAAGTAAAAAATCAATGATTGTGTGTTTTAGATCGTCATGCCAATGCCTCGGACGGTGAGAAAAAAGAGCAGGAGAAAAAGTTCAAGGAGGTAGGTGAGGCTTACGGCATCCTCTCCGACCCCAAGAAGCGCGCCAGATACGACAGTGGCCAAGATATGGAGGACGACGGTCACTCACGTAAGTGTTAGAGTAAGAAGATCCATATACAGCCCCTGGACTCAACAACCATCACACTCCTTATTTTAGTAAAAAAAAACTATTGTAGTGACTAGTTTAGTAGTTGTTCTTGACATGATGAAGGTAGGATGGGATTTTAATGGTAGTTTATTTCAACTACAGTAAAAAAAATATTTTGATGTTTTAATTAGTACGATTTTGTACAAATGTTTTGGAAACCCTTTTCACTTACGGTGAGTATGAAACCCATTAAAGTAGATTTTTCAATAAATATTAGTTTTATATTCTCCAGAGAACAACTTATTTCCAATTTAATCAAACGCAGTGATCAAACTAAGTAATCAGTTTCTATACAAATGCTTTTCCACACACACAGTAGGTACAAATAATCCTTAACACTGTATTGGCTGAGTATGTTGTACCTTACTCATTTTTACTATTGTTTCAGATGAAATGGATCCAAATGATGTGTTCCGAGCATTCTTTGGCAACCCCGGCGGAAGTTTCAGCTTTGACGCAAACCAGTTCCCCAGTGGTTTCACGTACCACTTCCAGTGAGCGCCTGACCCACCCAGAATGTACAGTTACACGACCCCACGATAACTCATTTGATGTTTACTTTTCCACACTAAAACAATTTCATGGATTTAGAACAAGTCACAAGTGGTTGTACAAATTGAACTTGGTAGTTGTAGTAGACTAAGTCAACCGATGTTGATTCTCAAAAACACTTACATTCATAATATAAATGTGTTTCTTTAACTGTTTATCACATCAAATAACCGAGCAACATTCCTTACTGGGCACTGATATTTGTCCTTTTTTGTGTTTTTTTTCACTCTGTTAGTATCTTTACTTTATATTCGGAACTAACATTTGCTACCGAATTGAGTATTTTGTGTAAGATACAATGTATACATAAACCCTTAATACATATTATATTTCAGTCTCTACTCAATCATTAACCGTTCTTATAACGATGAGGTTAATAATTAATTGTACTATGTTCGTCACTTCCTCTAGGCTGTGTCGTTTATTGAGGCTGTGACATATTTCACTTTGTTCCCAGTTAGGAATTGATTATGAAGCTCATTTTTCTTATTTCTTAATCATTTTAAAATTATATACTTATGATCATTATTTTGTAATTTTTTTAAATTGAATTGAATTTACTGGTGTATCTTAAATTATCCCTTTGGAGATTGACAACAGTTTTCTTCATTAGATTTTTAAAAGCTTTCATGAAGTGAGTAGCAGTAAATTTTATTCATACATTTTGAGGTACACAGGTGTACTCAACAGGCACATTAGTAAAATCAATTCTTCGAAGGTGCCAACATAGAAATGCATCGAATAATTTCTGGCCAAGATCAAGGTTCATTTAGAAGCTCTTGCTACTGAAAGCTCTGTAAATAACTTGCTCTGAGCCAAACTCTTATCAGACATTAGCTCTACCAAGTAATGGTAATGTTTCACTAATTTTCATTCAATGGCATCAAAAATAGTGTCTACCTCTTTGGTAACTCGTGTGATTTTCATAGTAGCTCACATACATTTATAAGTTGTGTATTTTTAATTAGAAATAGGTTAAAGTCTATATATTGTAAATGTGTTTTTTTACCAACTTTCCTAATGACAAGGACCACTGACTGGTTTAATGTTTGGTTTTGAACTGATCCCTGTACAATTTATTCAGATTGTGTTGAAGCCAATTTTATTAGAATAATTAGTATTTTGGTGTTTCTTCAACTTTTTGTTGGCCTTGTGATAGTTAATTTATGTTCAACAATTTATTAATAAAATATTTAATTTACTTTCACTGTTACGTTTTTATCCTTACCTTTTTTTTGCTGAATTGTAAGGGAATATTTTTAAGGGTGTAAGTGGTGGGGGAACTTCCCCTTAAACCACCTAAATTTTGTGAACAGGCAGGGTCAAAGCCTATCATAAGACAGGGTTCATTTAAGTTTGAAATACTACTAGTTCATCATGGAAATGAAGACACTCAACACATAAAGGTTTGAAATTAAAAGTAACAGGTAAATAAATATCTTTAATATCACATAAAAAGTCCATTCACACAAAGTTCATGAACAGATTTGTATTATTTTTAAGTGACACATCTGCTGAACAAATATATTCCTACACAAAACCAATAAAATCAACTTGAATATACAATACTTCAACAAAAACTTGATAAATTTTGCATGCACAAATTAAGTGCTTGTTGTAATGTGATTATTTCGTCCATGGCAATATTCACAACAATTTTCCCCCTTAAAGTTGTGTTTACAAGAAGCCAGGCAGGCAGGCTAGGCCTACTTTCCTCTGGTGTATTTCAAGTTGTATGATGCAGGTAACCTGCCCTTGCCTCAAGTAACTTGAAAGGGGTAGCAGATTTTTATCCCCCTGGAATTTTACCCCCTGGGCAAACGTGACGTCACAAACCAGGGGGTAAAATTTCGGCCGCGAACTTTTGAGTTTCGCAACATCAGCTCGATGGATTAAACGCGGAATTAAACATATTATTTTCACGGTTGTGAATTTAATCAGAACACATCAAATTATAAAAACCTAGAATGTACGGCCCGGATTTTTACCCCCGGAATTTTACCCCCTGGATTTTTACCCCCCGGAATTTTACCCCCTGGCCAGATATATAAATTAGTGAGAATGATTAATTATCTTCATTCAGTTTTAATTTAATAGTTAACATTTTATTATTAAGTAGCCTATCATAATTTATTTTTAACATTAACTAATCGAACAGGTTTTAAATTTTAATTTTGAGATTCGAGTATAAGGATTCGATCTTTGAAGCCAACTGTTGGTTAATATGATCAAAATAAAACAGCGAATTCTGTTTACTTAGTTGAGATTACAAAATAAATAAATAAATATCGGTTACTAAATATAAATAATGAAACGTTTGCAATTAATTGAAATAATAAAATCAATCATTCAATTTCTAAAATCTGCCAGGGGGTAAAAATCCGGCCCGTACATCTTCAGTTGCCTAAACGCTAGTTATATGGACAGGGGGTAAAATTCCGGTTTTTATCGCTAATCTAATTAATCACACTCTTGACTATTTTCATTAGACTTCCAAATCCGCGGGGGTAAAATTCCGGCACAACAACAAACTTTTGGCCACTCAGGTTACTACGTCATAGTGACGTCAGCTTTGCCCAGGGGGTAGAATTCCGGCGACCCACTTGAAATGTACTAGAGAAATGTAACCTGCCTGCCTACTGGCCTCGTGTAAATATGGCTTAATTTTATCCCACAAAATCATCAACTAAAACTTGTTCTCATTGATCATTTTTGTTAATCGGAAACAATTTTTGTAAGAACAATTTTAAATGAAAGGAGCTATTACCGTAGGTACATGTATATTATGTGATTGTGTCTGTAAATATGAAAACTCGTCATTTTGAAATTTAAAAACGACGTGTGAGACTGGGGATACACTTGAATGAGATGGAAAATCAGCAAACTGGTTGTTTTTGTTATAGGGTTTAAAAATTGTTCAAATATTTTATTCTTTACTGTTACTAAAAAAAATTTGCCAAATTTCATTGAAACCATTGTGTAGAGCTTAAAGAACATATAATTTTGTATATTAAAGCGTTGTTGTAAAATTAAAGGTTACAGAGAAAATTAAAAAAACTGAACATTTAAAATTCCCAAGTAGAAAAAGTCAACTTGTGGATAAGACTTTTTTTATTAACAATTTTAACCAAGTGTCATAGGGTTTGGATTTTAAATCATTTTTGGTATGGTATCTAGTGTAATTTTGATTCAATTACTCGTTTTCATGGAATTCGACTTTGACTATTTTAAAAGGCAGCCATTTTTAAATTTAACAAGTAAAATTTCTTAAAAATAGTTAAAAGAAAATTAAAATAACAAAAACTTAAAATGTGTAACAAGTTTTATTACAGTGTCTCTAATGGGCTTTTTATAAATGTAAACTAAGAACTAAATTTACGTTTTGTGAGTTATTTAGCTTAAAGATTGGGCAGTATGACAATAAATTTGGTAATGAAATAGTATTTTCACTACTAGTCACGAAAGTGACCAATTTCAAAGTGGGACTTTTGTGACGAGTACTGAACAATACTTTTTATCACAATAAAAATACTACTTCATCAAACTTACTATTTGTTTTTGGTGTATGGACATTTTTGAAGATCTCAGCTGTATGGAAATGGGCTATTTTTGAATACAGTGTGATGAAAAAGGTATTTTCAACTCTAGCTCAAAATCAAACCTCATTTGTTTCACTTGTCATGTAAAAAGGAATCACTTTAGGCCGTAGCTATGAAATACATTATGGCCCCCCAACACTTGATGAAAGGTAAACTTTCTAAAACAGTTACAGGTCTCAATGTGCTAGTTGCCATGACAGATATTTTTGTTTGTTTCATACCTTGCATACTAATTTTACTGTTTATATTACTTATTGTTTTTTTATTGTTTATATTACTTTAGCATTATTTATCTGCGAGTAAAATACTTACATGTTAAAACAAAAGCTATCAATCACATTCTTTTACATACGATTAAAATATACTCTGGCAATAGTTGTGTAATTTGTTCATTACGAATTTACCTAAAATCTACTTTAATACTTGATTCAAAGCTCTCTACAATAACATATAATTTGGGGAAGGTTTCCCATCACAACTTGTGCTAGACTAGAATAGTAACTAAAGTTACAAAGTTGTCTACCACAATAAGTTTACAACTTGAAATCCCACGGTATACAGATTTGGCCGTCGCTCATCACAGAATAGTAGTTGGTTATATAAAGCCTGTTTTGCCTAAGTGAAGACAGCTCATCTCGATGTTCCAGCAGACGTTGCAGACAGCTTGTCATTAAATCAGGTGTAACACAGTCGTCTTTGTTTAAGGCCTCCAGTTTGAGTTCCGCTAAGCATTGTTTATGGAGTTCTTTTTCAATATGTTTATGGCTGGAAATAGATATATCTTGTCAATCTACAAAATTTTACAATATCTAAAAATAGGAAATGTAGGTTTGAATGTCATCATAAACTTAAAATTATTTACCAGTTTCTTGTAAAAGAATACCTAAACAAAGGTTAATTTCCTTAAACACATTTTAGGTTTTCTGTTAAATAATGCCTAAACTGATTAACAGGGTGTCCACAGAAATTTTGTCATCAATTTTTCCTGACTTTCCATGACTATCCATGACCATTAACCATTGATTTTCATGACTCACGAACTTAACTCAAAAATTATAATATACCGTACACACACGAATAATACTGCCTAGACAAGTTATTTTACAGAAAATATTGAAATATGTATTAACAGATAACAATGGAGTACAATAGGTACAACAATGAACTAATACAAACTCAAAACCCATAAACTAAGACAATATTTTACAGAAAATATTGAAATATGTATTAACAGATAACAATGGAGTACAATAGGTACGACAATGAACTAATACAAACTCAAAACCCATAAACTAAGACAACTGTATAAATTGAAATTGTAGTACATTTGTGAAAAATTCGGAAAAATGCTACAATAGTCGCGGTTACGGCCGACTAGAGCATTGAAAGGTCCCCTGAAATCCATCCATAATTGGGGATTTCCATGACTTTTTGCCTATTTCCATGACTTTCCATGACTTTTTGCTTATTTCCATGACTTTCAATGACCATCATTTTTTTCCATGACTTTCCATGACTATCCCTGACTTTCCAGAGTGTGGACACCCTGGATTAACTTAATGCTCAGTAATCAAAACATAATAATTTTTTTAACATTGGTAGAGATCAAATTTTCAGAAGATGGTACATATTTTTACAACATCTGTACAGTAGTAACCGTTTACTTACGATCTATAATGATGCAATAGGCGAGAAGCGTTGTCCAAGTTTTCGGAGATAAAGTTTACCAATAGGAACGAAGGACAGGAGGCTGGCACGATGAACTGACCAGTTGGTGACACCATCAACGGCCCCGCCTCGCTGTTAGCATTTGACAATATTCAGTGGTTAAATTATGCTAAATATTATTATGGTCTGTATGATGGAACCTGTCTCGTGTATCGGCTACCTGGAGAGTGGCCAATGGTTTAAGGCCCAGGCCAGTCCCAGATAGACGAAGGGTTAGAAGTAGGGGTCTGCGGTGCACCGAAAAAGTCGGTACGGTACGGTACAAGCTTAATTACCGTCATCGGTTCGGTACAGCATTTTACACGGTACAAATTCGGTTCGGTACAGCCTATTATAATAATAAATTACTTTCAGTTTACTATCGTAGTCAACAACGGCAGTTGGTTCCGAGCACATAAAAGTCTTATCAGATGTTTGTTTACGATCTTCATAATTTATTACTAGCGATGGTGCAATAAAAAACCCATTAGCAGTCCCAAATCCATTAACATTTTATCACGACAATAATTGTTGTATTGAAGTACTTCCAAGAACTGTTGAGTTTTATCACTTTTATTTCTTTACGACTTTCCCCAATTCTGTTTTATCATAAAAATAATAGTTTTATGATGACTGTTAAATGTTATCTCTAACTTAATCAGTATTTTCGTGAATATTGAATTTGCCGCTGGCCATTGCCTACTGCCATAAAACTGTTTATAGCTACATATTAAACTTGTAACTAATCTACAATCTTATTTTATAAATTAAAATATTTGTTATGGATATTTTATCTTTCTATTGACGACCATGGATTTAAACAAACTTTTGTCGTGATTTTAATTTCAACATCAAAATACAATATTGCACAATCGTGATATTTTAGGCCATTGACCTTTATTATGCATCCGGTATTGCTGTTTCAGAAGAGAAGCACGTTGATAAATTATAAATTGATATTCCCGTATTTAAAAAGAATTATTTTATAAACCTATAAAACAAAATCATAAAATCTTACATAAAGATAACAATAACGGAAATTGTAAAAAGGGTATAAAGATAACAACGTCTTTTATTCTTTCTCTTTGTTCTTCTATTTCTTGGGTTTCCCTTCATCACGCATTCAACAAGTTGCCATGGTTACTAATCACCCATGTCGTTATCAGCTTTTGTGACATAGCTCACAGCAGGGGGTAAAACTTGACGAAAATCGGTAAATTTTTACCTATTATTTAATTACCAATGAATGTACTACTTTATTGGTATTTGGTATTGTATTAATAATCGGTCCAAATGGCAGATTTTTGTCAAATTTTACACCAAATTTATTGAAATTTCAAGGTGAATATTAATAAAACAATTATTACCAAATATTTGTATTCATTTAAAAGATTGATTTGTGGTATTGGGTTCCCCACTGAGTGCAGCCGAGCGGCACTAATGAGGGTCGGACCTTCTTGGGGGTGAACAATAGACGGCTTATCAGACCCTCCCCTCCCCCGTGGTCTGGAGAAAGCATGTAAACAAACTATTGCACAAGCGTGACTTGACATTGAGCTGCTTCAACTATAATTTTGTAAAATGAACTGTGATGTTTCAAAATAAAAAACAATAATTTGGGACCATACTGCTTAACAATAATGGACTGCAATTATTGTTGAACATTCAATCCATTTTTAACAAACTAAGATTATACGATTCAAATACAATTATAAAAATTATCTTGGTATTTTACTTGGGGTAATGAAGTTATGTAGGCTAGTGTAATTCTCGGTTCATCAAGGTTCTACTGAATTATGTTTGGCAGTGAATAAGTGTAGAATGCAATTTATAAATTCAGGGATACACACCTTTTACACAGTTATAAAGTCTAATTGCCCAACATCAAATCTTACTCTGTGATAATCCAAATTTTAGTTTCAGAAAAAAACTTTGCAAGAATTGTATCCATCTTATAACTTAACTAGTTTTGAAGCTGATAAAAAAAATGGTCTTTGCCATTACTTCATCATAACCTCCAGTTTTTCATTGTCATCTGCTGTGAACAGCTGTCAAAACTACACTGTCTTCTACTGAATGCTTTTATATGTTTTTAAAATTAAAAACAACTAGACATTGTGTTGGTTGGAAATAATTTACCAGTTTTGTGAAATTATCTTGTCAATAAATGTTTCAAACATGTTTATTCATAAAAACTCTTATCTATTTTTAAACTGCTTTATCATGGCTACTCAAAGTATCTCAGAGTAAAATAGGTAAAGCCTTTATCTCAACTGTGATTTTTCTTGACACAATCCTCATAGTAGTAAAAGGTTTTGTTTTAATAATATGTGGTACAGTAATTGTTGTTAGAAAACCATGAATGTAGGATACTATCCATTTTCATAGTAATGTCTATACTGTATTAAAGTTCAAAATAATGGTTTAGATACAGTTCTGAGAAGAAAACCGCAAAAATACGGGTAGCCGCGTACCGTACCGATTTTGTACCGAGAACCGAGGTACAAAATATTGTACCGTACCGAACCGTACCGACCTTAAATTTTCTGTACCGCAGACCCCTAGTTAGAAGATAGGTCCCATCAATAACTCCCTTCATCTTATAAAATATAAACATAACTAGTTTGGAGCCCTCAATCTATGGTGCTCTCTCCTGGCCAGCCAGACAAAAAATAAAATAAAAATAGGATGGAATCGTTTTTGCCCAGATCAGCGAATCCAAGCATAACTGGACGAAAAACAACACAGAAGCCTCCAGGGTTTTAGAGTATGAGAGGTATCTTAACAGTTTTTTAGGTTAAAGATAACAATTAGCTTACGTTTCAACAACAAGTTCGAAGTTCTCCAAAGAGTCCGGCCAAGTTTTCGGGAAGCCTCTTCTACCTTGGTGATCACCCAGAGATGTTGTCAACCGGTTCAAGTTTTTCTCATATTCTGCTGCCATAGTTTTCGGCTGGTATTTCCTTGAAATAAGCAAAATAATGTTTGTAATCAAGAATATCTTTTTGGCCAACAAGAATGTCCAACATGATGCAAAATAAGAGTGAATTTTATACTATTGAACCAATCTGAAGTAACAAAACTGTTTACTAACAAAACTGTTTACTCAAGTTTACAAGTTTACTCTAGTGGAAAGGTTAAATCTTAAGAGAAATTAAGTCAAAGTAGAAAAATCAAGCACAATTTAACTAATTTTATCATAGGTGGACCTAGATTAATGCGAGGCTTAAACCTTTGTATCAGGGAAAGAGAGAGACCCATAGATTATTAACGGGTGGGGCAACTAAAATGTCAAAACCATAAGGAGGCCTAAGGGCCGCAACAGGTACAGAGTATTCGTAGAACAATAATTGGTTTCTTAGTACTCTGAGACTTGACATGGCTTAAGTGTTGATACAGATATGAATCACAGATACTAAAGTTTTCAAAAGGTAACATATCTGGTAGTTGAGCCAATTTACCCGTTAGGTTAGATGCAGAGGTCTCTCTTCCCGCGCCCTCAACGATGTCCCTTTACGCCAAACAACTTTGGTACATAAAATTAACCTCGTAAAATATTTGAATTTACGTTAGCTCACTCATTCAGCCAGTTAGTCAGAGCAATAGCATTATACTATTGGTGATTCAGAAGTTTTGAACCCTTCAATTGAAAAATCCAGTCGAAGGCTAATTATGACTTATCAAAACTCCAAAAATGATTTGCTGTTTCTTCAACACAAAGCTATGTTTATCTGAGTAGAAAACACACACTATTTTACTAGATAAAGAGTGTTTAAGGCCTTCAACTTGAACAGCGAACAATAGAGCTTTAAAGACATTCAATTTTACCTTCGAACTACTCTGATATCCCGTAAAACTCTTGAAGCTGCTTTCTCAAAAGCTGGCAGACGAAGCAAAACTTTGTCTTCTTTTGGGAGATTCTTAATAAACTAAAACAAAAAACAAACACTGTCAAGAGTTAAGCCTGTGCACCAGCTTAACTGAAAACAAAGAACATATACCCTCTAGCACGAGGAATGCTTATGTTGGACAGAAAGTAGTGGAGATGACTTAACTAACAAAAGGTCTATGTTATAGAGTAAAACCAGGATTTGCATCGTTTCCCTCCAGAAATGTAAAAAAATGCCTCTACTGAATAGAAAAACATAAATACAAAACCATACAAAAAACATATACAATTTGGGAATGTTAATTGATAGTGATAATATCAGCAGGAAGTGTTGGTAGATGTTGATCTATTATTCACCATTAGTTTGGCTCCAATAAAAGTTGTCATAGCCAAAAAAGTGTAATTTTAAAAACTCAATAATAATTGTTGGGACAAATTGGACAAAAACCAAAGCTAATCTCAAAAAGACCCAACCATAAGCGCTACCTAGTTTAAGTAGCATATATTGTCTTACGTCCAGCCAATGTTGCCGCACTTCTCCGCTGTTGAGCAACACTTGTCCCTTCATACTGACTCCCGTGTCTCGGCTGAACACCAGCGACCGGCCTGCAACACACTTTACAATCAGTTACTAGGAAATTTAAATTTAGCTACATAGAGTATCTAAATATGTACTGAACAGTAAACCTTCATTACACACTTTTGTCAACTGAAGTTTTAGAATATCAACGAGCTTGCATTTGAAAACGTAATTGAATAATCCTACTGTTGAACAAGGAACTGACATAAGATAAAGCCGTAATTATTGTGTACAAGTTGTCCTCACTTATTGTTACTATCCTTACACGTTCCAATCACATTACTTGTTAATAGGGATTGGTCAGTTGTTAAAATTAGTTGTCGGTAAAAAACAAATCCTGACCTTTGAGCACGGCCATGTGTTCAGGGTGCTGCTGTGCCAAGGATAGGAAGCTCATAAGACAGCCTCGGAAATGAGCAATATTCCAACCACAGTCACTCGTAACATCGGCCAGTCCGAGAGATCTGCACGCCTGTGAAAAAGTAATTCATTAATTATGCTATCAAATAATAAGGCTAACCAACAAGGCCATGCTAAGTTACAAGGCCAGGGTTTGGACTGTTCCACCCCCCAAAAAATTGTTAAAATACCAAAGACGTAGAAACACAAAAAAAAAACAATATGCCAAGGTACAATGTTTGAGAAACGATTGTTCCTAATTCATTGAACATTCAAAGATTTATTTCAACAAGAAACAAGATTGCACACTTGTACAGTTGATGTCAAGATACTAAGACTAATAAATTAACAAGAGTGAATATATTATCTCTCTAAAGATCAACAAAGCCATCTATATAACTATAAACAAGGTAACAAGGTGTAAACAACAGAGTAAGACTAGTCAATGTCAATAATTAATTACTAAAACTTAAATTAATTCTGGAACATTTAAAATAAAGGAACATCAAGGATTCATAACATACAACTGATAATTCAAATTCACCCTAATATCTAGGACTTCTTCAGAGAGTAGATCCAAGACACTAATTTGTCTGAGACTATCTATAAAAAAAAAAACAACTCCCATTTCATTCATTTTGTTTCATTTCCTTTTATTTGAAGGGTAAAATAATTGTTAAATACTTAAATTATTACTGTCCCGTATTATATTTTCTTAATGAGCGATTACCAACTTGTAAAATATGCCCGCCACAGTAAATCTGCAGACTAAGGGTAATTACAATTTTTTTCAGGTTTTTCACTAAAAAATGTCCTCTCAAAGTTGTTAGATTTAAATTTTATTTTTTAAATAACATTAAATTTAATGAGTACTTGGTTTGCTACAACTGAGAAGGTAGAAAATTGGGCATTTTATTGAACTGTTAATAGCTTAGTTTAGTATTAAATCAACAAATTTGCCAAATTTAATCAAACTAAAACTCTAAACGCAAACTACAACCATCCTCAATAAAAAAAAAAACATACTGTAATTATTAGACGTACAACAACGCTTAAACATAAAATTATTTGTTTCTTTAAGCTCTACAAAATAGTTTAGCAAGAAATAACAAAAATTCATGTTTTGGGGGTCAAAAATGGGAAAAACAAAATGTTTAAAAACATAATCTCCCTATATAGGAACTCTAAGGTTGCCTTGTTTTTAGCACATACCAGGTACAGTTATCTATCAGCTGTACTTGTTGAATTAGCCTGTGACAGGATAAAGTTTTGTTTTTAGATGAGTGATTATCAGCATTGAAGACCAAGGTCATTTTATAGCAACACTAGCTGTGTGCCCGTTCTACGCACGGGGATCTTATTGTAGTCAGTTATTGAAACAGAATTTGGTTTGCATGTTTTCAGATATGCTGGCAAAACTATTATACAGTATATAAACCTTCGCAAATACAGTAACTGACAGTTTCAAGCCAAAACAAATGCTTCGAAATTAAATGTAACCTGGGTCGTGTTGGTCCATATGTTAAATCCAATGATTAAACTAAAAAATGCTTTATAGATCTATGAGGCATAGCCCTAATGTAGGCCTATAATTGAAAGTTACCTTCCACAATGGTTAAAAGTATTTAAGGTACTACTTCAACCTCCCAATTTAACACTTTATTCGTGTTGACATTTTCATTATAAAGGTACTTTTGTCCTTTCCGTGAAACACTGAGAAATAAGGACATTAATGCTTTACTAACAGACATACACACAAAAATACAGAACTTAATTAGGGGGTTTGCTACGCTTTAAGCATAACAAAGTACTTGTAAAATTAGTATCTAAAATATTTTGTTAATGTCCTCAAATTTCATCATAACAATGTATATTTGCTTGGATCGATGATGACCCGAAATGACGGCTTACTATATGAAATGAAGACGACTGGTCCAGGGTGGTCCAGCCACCCTGGTATAGACGATTGGTAATTTATAGTAAATATTACCAAAATAGGCCACTAACTATTGATACATAAACAACGTAAAGCGTTTAAACAATTCATTATGGTTAGTTGAATAAATGTTTTACTAAAGTGCGTTATCGTTTTCTTAGCATAAACTAACATTTTGGAATCAAGAAAGAAAAAGCAAAAATTGTACAGTTAAGACATCAATTAAATTGAATACGCCTGTAATAATAAATAAGGTGCAACACCAACGATAACTAATTTGTAAAGTACAGTGATGTGTTGGTACTTAAAAATGATTCTTGCTACTACCAACAGTACCAACGGTTCTAAGGAATAGAACCGGTACCAAAAACCAACGTTCACAGTTGAGAACTATAGTACAGCCGACCAATTATATGAGTTAATCAAGTCCCGAGGTTATTGATCTCTTGGTTTTTGATTTTCTCGTAAAACGTTTTAAAACGGCAATCAAAGTTATTTCCCAATAATTGCTTTATTTGTAAACAACTTTTAATGTAAACTTATCTGTGTCAGTTTTTAAAAAAAACAACCTCATACAAACAACTTTTTGTTATTTAATAGATTAGGCCCTACGTACCTATTCTCTAAACAATGATTGGTAAAGGCTATCTAATAACATTAGAAGGAAATGTGACAAAAATCACACAACGTTGGGTTTTTGGACGTTTGTAATTTTATTTCTTAAGTAGGTAGGCCGTGTATTCTAGGGAAAAGTACCGGTATCAAGGATCGTCGTCGAACAGTTTGTTATGAATAATTGGGTAGGCGTACGTACCCAAGAGCATGGCTGTATGGTCCAGCGATTGCATCACACGGTGAGTAGGTACTATTGACTATATATATATAGTCAATGGTAGGAACAGAAAATAACACATTGTTACAATCAACCACTGCAGTTGTGATTTTTTACTTACCACTTTACACAACCGCCATTGAAGCGCCGTGTCAATGAGTGGAAACCATATTTCTAAGCCATTGGCGACGATCATTATTAAATTTAAAGTTTCCCAGCCGTATACAACACTGATTCAAGGTCTTCTTTCTGGTTATCAAAACTCAAGAACAATTTATACACAAAGAATCTCTGGTTCCTGAACTGGATGATGCCTAGTTATTTAATTTCATTTACACGGTTACACTATTACACTATATTATTGCACTTTCGATTAATTAAATCCGTTATGTAAGAAAAACGTTTTTAATCACTTGGGATTTACATTCAAAACGTGATTGAAAAAGGTTGCGGTATTTGTAAACAACATTTGTAAACATATCAGTGACAGCTAGGAAAAATAATCTTGATCCGAACAGCTGTTCGTTATTTCATAGATGATTATGCAATAAAAATTGGACGAAAACTTGACATAAATCGCACAAAACTACATTTTTGAACGTTCGTAATATTATTTACAAAGTAGTGAGGCCATATTTTAATGGCTAAAGACAATCTCGCCAATCCAGTGAATACATTAAAATGACTTGGATCTTGATAGGTACTCTCGTTTTCCAGGAGAAGATAGCGTAAAATGCCATCTTGAGTGTTACAGACAAAGGGAAAGACAGACAGACAGACAGACAGACAGACAGACAGAAATTGAGATAAGGCTCGTTTCTGCTTATTTAATGTATAAGACGTAAAAATAACCTAAAAATATATAATTCTGAGCAATGTACAGACAAAACTCTAATTTTATTTATATAGATTAAGTTGTCTAACTCACCTGATCCTGAAGTTTAGACACTTCCTCACGGACCGGCCCAACTGAGGCAAGTTTTTCCCTGGCCTCCGCTTCATTCTCATCTAGCCAACCGCTGTGAAAAATGGTTTCATAAAAAAATAACTCAACTGTAAATTCTGAGCTTTGAATTTCAAAATTAAAATATGTAACAACATCTCAAATTTACTTGCCGATAAAGAACCACGGGGAAGTCCTACAAACTTAGCACCCAAACCAGCAATTCGGGTATCTTGGTTAGATAAAGACATTTTTAAGTAAGTGGCTAGGAACTAGGAACCCTTTGCCGATGTTATTAACGACCCTGGTGACAAACTATAGAACCCAGTAGCTTTAATAGAAACTCATTGTCTCTGGACCTAGCCATACTTACAGATATTACAACCGGGACGAGTTGCATAACTGACTATCAAAACGCTAGACGAGCGCCTTGTCAATCAACACCTTAACCTTGAGCTTGTTTTAAACTAAGTCATGTATTTCCTTCAAAGAGTAAATGTTATGTATTTAAATTCTATTGTGTTTTAAATGAAATAACCACGCATACAGATAGGCCTACAATAAATAAAAGAAAATGTGTACAATATCATGTTTCAGTTAAAATGTTTAGCTCTAATTTGTGAGACTGTAATGATTGATAATGTGATGATGACTGTAAAGACATTTAGTACTGTACAAGTAAGTTAATTGGGTTTTAAATTACTCAACTGTGGTTTAATGCTTTGCTGTCATAAGACAAACAACTACAATTTTATGATTACTTATCAGAATAACTACTTTTGAGGAACTAAAAACTTACGTCAATGTCTGAAATTCCTTTGGAGGTTTCGGTTTTCGTTCAGGCCTTTTAATCCTGCTGTTATCCGTGTAGTCATACTCATTGTATTTTTTGTTTGTCCTCTGAGTATAGTGGTAAACCTGATCTCTAAACGATGGTCGAGTTGTCTCGGGGGACTTTGATGCAATTTTATCAACATAAGTCGTAGGGAGATTGCATGTTGACAATATCACAGTGAGAGTTTTTGATAGATCTTGTTCTTTCAGACTAATATTAACAGATTTCAGGCTTTCTGAAAAACAGACAATAGTTATTTTACCTTAAGTTAAATCTCTTTCATCTAATGTATTGTTGTAGGAGCCCTTATATCCATTAGACGCAGGCTTATAATGATCAGAACATTGAAATACTCAGATAATGATAAGAGCAAAACACAAACTTAATCAAATTTAATCTGCATAGCCTTGGATTGTGTGTTAAATAATGGTTAAAAAGGCCCTGCCTAATAATCCTCAAAATTAGAGCTTGTTGTTAACTTGCTACAGGCATTGTCAGCTTGTCACAAAATCAGTTTTCTTCCAGTCCTGATTGGGGCAATGTAAAGGCGTAAACAATAGAACCCCCTATACCCAGTCTCGGTTTTATTAGTCCTTCGTCTATTCGGCCACTTCTAGGAAGCAAATATCAACATGTTTTACTAACGGCTTACAGATTCGTAGTTTTAAGCACTAGGCTTCAAAACTAGCAAGATACATTTATACTACGTTTGACTACATTGATTACTTTATTATTAGGCATAAAATAAAATAGATTTTTTTTTTTTGTTTTTATTAGTTAATACGTTGGTTTATACGGCCATATTGTTATCTGGCCAGTCTTGTAGATACCATATGAGAGGGGTTTTACTGTGGTTAACAGTGCTTCAGAATTTTAAAACCTAAAAATTATTCTAGGCTATTTCATTGTCAGCAAGAGATGTTTTATACCTCGTGATGTGGCAACCCCTTGAGGCTTCAGATAAAACCGTAACGTCACAGGTCTCTGAGGCTTTTTCTGTTGAAGAGATTCCAGCACTGAGCTCAGAGTTTTCAATGAATTTTCATTGACTGCCTGCAATAAAAGAGTTAACATAAATAGAAATGATCAAATCACTTTAAATACTAAAAGGAATTCTTAGTTAGAAAAAGATGTTTCTAAACAATTTTATGTTTCTATTTTCTATTATTTTCTATGGATATTACAACTATCCATGACCGAGTAAAAAAAATTTTAACTTTAAGTTAAAATCTATGGTGACATCTCCTGAAGGGAAATCATTTTTTTTTTTGTCTTTACTACTACTTTTTGATTTTGCTCTCTACAGTAACCAGCCAACAATTAGAAATTAAGTCAAAACAAATTTTTGTAACAATAACAATGCTACAATGAAACAATTTTATCACATTAGTAGGCTCCGCTAAATTTTAATCCTTGTACTCAGTTGGCTTTAGGATGCGGAATTGCAACATCAGCTGGCTTGCACGGCTTACGTACCAATAGTCAGTCACCCTTCTCTGTGTATTATTAGCGCAATTCTACCATCATTAGCACCAAGCTTCTTCCTATACAGTAGAGTCCCTCTTATCCGGACTCCTCGGGACCGAGGCCAGTCCGGATAACGGGTTTTCCGGTTAAACCGTTAAACCCCCAAAACTTGTTATGTAACCCAAAATTTTTTACTTTAATTTAGGAGAGCATTGTATTTAGGCACGTGATCACTGGTCTCAAATCTTTCCCATGAGAACAGTTGTTTCAGTACCGCCCACTTCCTGCCGATCTAGTCTGGTTAAACCGGTGTGCTGATAAAAATTGTCCGGTTAAAGATATTTAATTTCCGCCGAATGTAGTCCGGTTAAAAGGTGTATTCTGCCAAGGATATCATCTGGACACAGTCATCAATCGGTATACATTTAGTAGAAAAAACTATTTTTCCACAGTGCTGCTGGCGTTTAAGTCTTTCCTTGTTGGCCATACGAACGGCAAAGGATGACTTATCCTACCCTCATCCCCATTCATAGGCCTTTGGCCTATAATACCTACCTTTGTATGGTTGCCATTTCAATTAAAAATATTAGGCTAACGTACCGGTATTTATGTTTTTATGTGAAGTTTAACTGAGCTACTTTGTCAAAGACCACGGTAAAAAGGTGCAGTTGCATCCTAACAATTGTCTTTCTGATCACAAAGGTAAAAAGTAGATGGTTAAATTCGTTTTTCAGTAGCTTATATGCAATAAATATAGAAATATTGGAGATTTAAACTGATTTATTTGATTTGGCGAGTCGGTGGCTCAGTGGTTAACGCTATGGACTTTGGGTCCATGCAGCAATGTTGTGGTTTCGGATCCTGGTACCCTCCACTACTTTTTATACATTTCACTCTCATGTTGTCCTGGCTCACCCCTTGCTTTGCTGAATAACTCCACACAAAGATCTATAGTCTGTGTGGACGGGTAAATGCAAGGTAAAAACAGGCCGCTAACCTCTTAAAAAACAAGAAAACTAATCAACAAATTCATAATTACCCTTTCTTGAGGAAATTGACCAAATAAATCAGGATGAACTGTGAAGTAAAATGGGCGAAGTGCAGTAGAAACCTCCCCAGATGTCATATGACGACAAACAGATCTCATGTATCCATAACCCCAAATGTCTGGACTCAGCCTAAAAAATTGAAAATCCTTAAAGTTAGTCTAAGTTAGGCCTATATAAAAAACTATTCTTTCATTTAATTAGGTAAGGTACCTACCTAGGTTAAATAAGTTACCGTACCTACTTCTTGTTGGATAACATTTCGTTTTAGCTTAATAGCCCAAGTTAATCCTAGCCAACTTAAAATTTAGTGAAATGACTGTTTATTGTTGTTGGCCTATTAGACTAAAGTTAGGCTAAGATGTAAGATTTTAAGCAAAAAAAAAATAAGTTAAACAATCAAAATTAAAGCAGATCCATGGATCTAACTTAGTTTATACAAAGGAACTAAGTAAATAATCTTAAGGCCGGCCGCACACTGATGCGACAAAACGTTTTGTCGAAAGACGTGGGAAGGGAGTGGCCTACCATGCAGTTAAATGGAGGCATCGCACACTGATGCGACAGAGGCTTCAGACGCGTTGTTTTGTCTGAAGACGTTTATGGGTGTTTTTGTGATCACCTCCAATATCATGATGGATAGCCTCTGGATCATTAAAATTAGCAGAATATGGTTTATGTTACCTTGCCTAAAATTATCCTTTATAGTTGTCAAACACGACAGCTGTTTCGTGCTACAATGAGCACATCTTCAAAGTGAAGAAACACAAAATCCACTCATTTAGCCCGCGATTGAGCATGTCAAAAAACACATAAAGTACATGAAGTTCACACAAAAACACATATTACAAACACTTGACCAAGTACCGCGAACACGCGACGCAGCGCCGGTAAACACATTACCGGCGCCGCGTCAAACATAACCATAAACATAAACCATATTCTGCCTCCAATATTTCGTCTGAAGCCAAAACGCGATCAGACAAACAGTTCTGCGCATGCGCGGAGGGCGGATACAGTACAACTTATCTATATATTGTAATAATTTTTCTTACAGCTAGCTTAGTAACTTAGTTCCTTTTCGATTCATGCAGAAAATAGAATCGAAAAGGAACTTAACGATATTTTAATTTCAAATACTCAAAATTATCTATATATTGTGATAATTTTTCTTACAGTTAGTAGATGTTCATTTTCAATTCATGCAGAAAATAATAAAAATGTTTTTTAAATTTTAAATATTTCAGCTAATTCCTATGCCTATTTTTTAATAATTTTCCTTACAGTTAGTAGTGGTTCATTTTAGATCCATGCAGAAAATACAGAAAATTTATGCTCCCTTTCTTTGTTTAGTTTTGCAAGTTGTATAAAGTTCCACAACATAATTGCTACGTCCACTTCCTCATCCATTTTATTAACACCACACAATAACTGGCTTTACACAACACTGGTCTACTGCTGACTGAATTTAGTTTTCCCTCCTGTTTTTGTCTTTTGTCTAAGACCACTGCACACCAATGTGACATTTTTGTTTTCCGACAAGACGTCTACCGAGAAAACGTTTTGACAAAAGACGTTTTGTCTGATCAATGTGCGGCCGGCCTAAGTAGGGTAGTGTTAAGTCTCACATTAAATTCTAAACAAAACTAGGCCTAAGTTACTCTACCGTACAAAGTTTTATTGAGTTAAGTTAAACCAAGAGTAAGGAACAAATTCTTTTTGGTTAAAGAGCACTAAGTAGAATTCCAGCTACTAGGAATTCACAAAATGTAGATATTTATAAGCATGCACTGTGGATGCGATACTCTCTGGTATGGATTAACACCCACACTATAGAGTACTACGACTATCCGTAAACTTAGTGGTAAGTTACGGTATTATCCTGATAATTACATAGACCAATTTGTTAATTACGAGGAAAAAAAATGTGGTTTGAATTCCACTACAAACTGTAGGTCCCTTTGATGCCATTGGTTGTATCGGCTACTAATTAACAGCTGTGTCTAAGGAATATGTCGGCCTTAGTCACTAACAAGACTACAAGATTGCGTTACTCATACTATACTCATCTCCATTCATAGCCTAGCCTACTTGGCTTAAAATACCTAAGTTTTACTTTCGTATGGTCGCCATTTCTTAGTAAAGGTCTTCATAGGACCTACACTATGAAGACAAGTTTAACTTAAAACTTAATTAATGATGATAAAAGTTTTGAGGACATGATTTTGGTTTCATACATCTGTTCCTGGGAACGTGTTTTTCTTCCTAGGCTGTATCAACATTAAGTTAACTTAATTAGACAGCAGTGCTGCAGTTAAGTTAACACAAGTTCTGGCTTTCACCACCAGGAGTGCAGTGTAGTTGCAGCGCACACAATACATAACTAGATGGCACTCCTGGTGGTGGACGCCAGAACATATACTAACCGCAGGCACAGAAAACAAACTAGGTACTATAACCCAGAATGCCAACCGCATGGTAAAAAGCGTTAACTTACCTACTTTGAGAGAGCTTTGCCTGTCAATTTGTAGGCAGCGCCACCAGCGTTGGCTATGCACTCAGGTGGCGCTGCCTACGAATTGACAGGCAGAGCTCTCTCAAAGTACTTAACGCTTATTACCATACGGTTGGCATTCTGGGTTGTAGTATGTATGTTATGTATGTATGTTTTCTGTGCCGCAGCACTGCTGTCAGTCTATATTTAATTCTATTTGTCAGTGCTAAAAGATTTAAAATAAGTTTTATCTGTTAACTTACTTACCATTGTTTTGCTCTTCTACATAAAATTTCTGTAGCCATTAAAAGTTGAACTGCTAAAGGTCCAATTATAATTGTTCAAACGAGAGCAAGACCCTACCTATGTATTTATCTTTAAGTAACTTATAAGTTACTCACTCACAGTACGAGCATAGCCTACGAAAATTACATCCACATTTTGTATAGGCCTATACACTTAATACACGTCTAGTGCAACAAAAATAAGAAAGCAACAAACAATGTGGTTCTTAAAGATTAACTTATCCCCCGAAACAATAATCACTTAGTTACACGATTTTTTCTTTGTTACACGGCAAGATCGGGGCCCTAGGGCCAAAACATTAACAAAACTTCTCTTCTTTTCTTCTCGCTCTTTAACCTTGAATCTGCGTTATTTATTATTGTGATGACCATGTTGTTTGTTGTTGTTGATTAGAACTTTTTTTTAAAGCCGAGCAAAGACGTAATAATAGTGGAGTGGTTGTGGAACTGTGGAGTGGAAGTACGAAGTAGAAGTAGTGAGTGGACTGGACTTAGGAGGACTCCAAGACTGGACTGAGTGAGTGTCAGTGAGTGTCAGTGTTGCCAAAAAGCGGGTAATTACCCGAAAAGCGGGTAATTTAGTTACCTGGGGGTAATGCTGCGGGTAATGGCAAATAGGTGGGTAAAAAGCGGGTAAATGACAACTGATCAAATATTATTTGTTTTTCGTATTATTACTTTTATATTTCACTAAAAGAAAAATATTTCCATTTATTTGTTTCCCATTAAAGTAATTTCATAGACTTTTTATTGTTTTACACTACTTCTCTTAACCTTCATCAGTTTGGTTCAGTTCTCATCATTGAGATATAGTTCACTCAGTGACTCAGTCACTCTAGTATGCTACAGCGTTCAGTCGGTTCGTTCGGTTCAGTTTCAGTTTCAGTCAGTACGGTTGTTTGTAGTCTTTTCTTTTGGATTGGGATTGGGGTGGAAAAACTTTTGAAGCCTGGCCTTAATTTAATGCCTGAAACCATGGTGGAAGGAAAATACCGTACTAGTCTAGTCTCTAGTCTACTTCTAAAGAGGATGAAAAATATAAAACAGGGGAATAATAATATTTATTGGTTATAATAACTATATTTTCTCCCTATTAATAATAAAAAATTACATTTTTAACAGTACTTACTCATTACTAAATAATTATATCACATAGGCTATCATAAAAAAAACCAAATCATTGTAGGCCTAAGTAACTTATGTAATTATTTTTTTAAGGTCATAAGATTGAAAATTTCATTATGAAGGTTAATTACAAGTCTCAAGTCCCATATTTAGTTCTTTACATCTTAATTTGTGGGATTACTCAAAACTAATTTATCAGGGTTTGTATTCGTTACTTTTAGAGACAGGCAAGAGTGTCAAAAGGGAATTTTTGTTTTGTTGAGGGTAATTTTGAGAAAAAGCGGGTAATTCTTTGCTCTGGAGGGGGTAATTGGGCCATATTGGATTGGCAACACTGGTGAGTGTGGTAGTGGTAGAGGTTTTGGTCCATTCTATGTTTTCTGTGATTCTATTCATTTCATATTTTTACAGGTTAGGTTTAGGATTGATTGATTTGAAGTGAAATAATTCATTCTTTCTCTTAGCCTAAGCCTAGTTTCTTGATTTGTGAAAAATTGGTTATTATTGTTGTAGGCCCTCGGCCCTAGTGTATTTTCAATTAATTCACAGTACCGTAATTACTATGAGTCATTTTTTGCATTGTTGAAGAGTTAGGATATCCACACATTAGGATAGGATAAGCCTAGGCCTACCTAGAAATATCGAAGTTCACCTACAAAATGATAAAAACATTGGTAAGTTTTGGCCCACATATTTGTTTGGGGTACAGGACGCTTGGTCACCCTCATCTAAATAATTACCCAGTTTCTTAACTGGGCTGTGCTAATATTGATTGAAACTATCGAATTGAAAATATTGATTAATAATCAATTTTTTTTTAAAATATAGGCTATCTATTATAGCCCTAAAATTAAACTAGGCATCATAACCTAACCTAACCAACCAAACTTGCTGATGGACTTGTGTTAACCTGGCAATAACTCCAGAAATAAGTAGTGCGCGCGCCCGATAAAATCCATTGCTGGTCTTTTTTTTTGCTGGAAAGAGGACACATTAATGGACACGACAGTATCAATATCATGTAAACTTGAGGGGTAAGTTAAGGGGGGTTAACCCTAGCAGTGGCCAATGGTCCCAGCGGGACCATTTCACCGTGCACCCTTAGAATGGCCATGGTCCCGCCGGGACCATTTATGTCCAAACATTTTTTAACGCTAAAAACTAATTGATAATTATCTTTAAAGTGGATAATTCATATACCATTCGAAAGATGACATTCTAAACTTTCATTTTATTATATAAACGAACCTTCTAGCGTCAATATGTGAACGTAATTGCAATTTAAATTTGAATGAAAATTTCCGCGCGAATCTACTTCCACTTGTAGTGTTGCGTAACCGCTAAACACATAAAGTTTAGAAAATCATAGCGAGGTTAGTTTTTTCCCTATCTGGATGCGAGTTATACCACTAGATAGCAGTAGAGTTGCTGAATATTTTGGCATAGTTTATTTTATCAATACATTGATAGCAAAGAACATATGATTTTTAGAAAACACGTAATTTTACAAAAATTAACAAATGGCCAATGGTCCCGCCAGGACCATTTCTAAAGTCGAAATATATATATAATGGAATATTTATAACTATTCAAATATAATATCCTTTTGTAGAGTAGGAAACGTAGAATAATTTAGTGTTGAGAAATGGCAGCCCTGATCACTGTATAATTTCTGTGTTCTGTCAGCAACAAAAGAAAATTGCCATCTGACCAAGTTACAGTACTCTGTTTGTTTTGTGCGGATCAGCTGACTTACGTTTTGAAAGTAAATATTGTTCGGCGAATATCTTGGAAATCATTCTAATTTCGGATTTTGTAGTTATGTAGTATTTTTTGTTAGTAATGTTTTTGTGTTTTAGGACTAACAGTCTTTATGCTTGAATATAAGCCTACTGGAAAGTCTAATATCTGAATTTCTTTTTACATAAACGGCAAATCTTTAGTTTTTTTGTATCATAAACGGGTAATCAAAAATGTTTTACTGCCTACAATGTGACATATTTGTATTCCTTAGTTTATAACTTACAAGAATATGTGTACTATATTACTATCACTAATTACCTTACATGAGCTATCTCCGAGTTACTAATTATTCGTCTTACGTGACAAACCTTGCGATTTTTCATATTTTCTTACATAACACATGTAAATAAAAATATTTTCCCCATGTGTTATACATTTCTATAAAGAGAATTGAATGTACTATAACATTTTTATAATATGTTTGGCCTACAAAAATCTGTACAAAAATTTTTTACAAAAATGTCTTTGAATTTTTTTCTATGTAAACTGTAAATTTTTAGTTTTTTGTATCATAAACGGGCAATCAAAATTTTTTTACTGCCTACAATGTGACATATTTGTATTCCTTAGTTTATAACCTACAAGAATATGTGTAGGCCTACTATATTATTATCACTAATTACCTTACATGAGTTATCTCCGAGTTACTAATTATTCGTCTTATGCGACAAAATTTTAATTTTCTTCATTTTCTTACATAACATTTGTAAAAAAAATATTTCCTCCATGTGTTATACATTTCTATGTAGGGAATTGAATTTACTACAAAATGTATATAATGGTTTTGGTCTGAAAATTATACTGTACCGGTAGTAATAACAAGACTTTACTTTTGAAATTTAAATCAGAATTTTTGAATCTTTTATGATTTTTTTATTTTTCAAAAAAGTTACCAACTCAGATTCAATTTTTATTTATATATTCAGATTCTCCTGCTTTTTCTGAATAAAATGAATACAAACATTGATAGGTTGAGTCCATATTTGTAATTTTGACAGATTTTTAAAAAAAGGTCTGCAAAATCGCCAAAATGGGTTGGCCATTCCCCACTTCTAACATTGGCCACTGCTAGGGTTAAGTCAGCAATAAGTAAGTTAGTGCTCGCCCCCGAAAAAATCTATTGCTGCCCATTTTACGGAAAAATACGGCCGCGTAGGTTATTACCGAGAGTGTTACCAGATAGAGGACACTTTATTGGACACGACAGTATCAATATCATGTACCTGGGGGGTAAGTTAAGGGGGGTTAAGTCAGCAGTAAGTAGTGCTCACACTCAAAAAAATCTTATCAGGACATCAACCTCATTCATTTAAACAGAGGATTATTTAGTTTGGTGATTCAAACCAAGCTACCCATTTTTATTTTTCCACAACAGATGAACAAAAATGTCTAGATTATTTTTTTCACTAACTTAAGTTTATTATTACAGTTTTTTTGTTCCAGTCTTGACCAAGACAAGATTCTAGTTAACTCTCTAACAGTGTTCCCATAATTATGTGGGATTTGGTTTAACAACCAACATAAAAATTATTTTTCATAAGGGTTTTCTACGATTACAAATCAATAGGCCTAGTTCCAGTATTGTGTAAAAAAATTACACTTAACTCAATTCAATGGGTGATGCCACATGTGACACCATCAGATGGGGAGAAGTTACAATTACAAAAGATGTTATTGCAAAATAAAAATTTGCAAATTGCATTTAGAAGTTTAGAGTTGCATGAACTTCCATCATATCCCAATACTACAAGACATACATGGTCAGTAAAGACATCTTCAAGTTTGAAGAAGCCTAGGTATATTATATTTGGTTTTCAAACAGCTAGGGATAATAGTGCACGAAAAAGAACTGATGAATTTGATCACTGTAAGTTACAGTTTTCAAAATAAAATAAATACATGTTTTTTTTTTTATATTTTTAGATTCAAAATAATCAGTAAGTTATAGGCTTTAATTTGAGCTATTGATAGTTTGAATCAGTTAAAGCTCAAGATACTGTACCTAATACATAATCAAAAATCATAAATTTGATTATTTCTCTGACATTATATTTATTTTAACGCTGCGAAGCAGCATTGGTCCTCTAGTTACAAATTACATTTTTTTTTATGGAAAGAACGCCTGGAGGTACCATGGGTCAGTAGTACCCACATGCCAAATTACATCCATTTTGGACCACAGGTGTAATCTGTAGCTTTGTACCAACGATCACATAAGACCAATAGATGGAGCACGCCTATCTAACTAACAGCAGGTGAAGCCAGATCCGCCATCTTATTGTAGGATAGAAGCGCTAGATGTCGATGAAAACGGCACCAAAACTCAAATGTTCCGCTTCAAAATAACTCAACATTTAGCCTACTTAGACTTAAGTTATATGGTTGAAACTTCGTATGAGTGAAGTCAATAAGTCTATGACACTATTGGTTTTAATTAAAAGCTTAAAAGTTAGTATTTTCTATTTTAAATATTCAAATAAAGTCGGTACTTTTAAATGAGTTTTAAAATATGACATGAAAAAGTTCGTCGGCTGCTACTTTTTTTAATTTTTGGTCAGGTAAGTTAAAAAACGGTGGATTTTGTAGCTAAAGAGTTGAACCTTTTGGATCATATTTTTTAAAGTTTTTAGCTGGCGTGGTTTGGTTGTAATTTAAATTGTAATATAGGGGCTACCCGCCGCGCCGCGTGGCGTCATGCGGGCAGATTCTGCCTACAACGTCACTTGTAATACAGTTTAGATACTCAAATTTAGAGCTATACAGAAAAGTTACTAAACTAATTAAAAATACACGGATTACATATAACTTTTCTTCGTTTTATTCTTTGTATTCATCTAAAAATTAATATTTTTTAGCTCTTTCATAAAAATGAATATGACAGTCAGAATATAAAGGAGAGTTGTATAAAGAGTTTCAGAAATTATCTTGTCACTTTGAAAATTCGTAGATTGTAAACCAAACATCAGAACTTTATCAAACTTTAATACGATGTAGATACATATATTATAAACAGATTTGTAGCTTTTCAGAATTTTCCTTTCGCCCAAAAAGTTTTTGTTGTTAATTATGTAAACTAACTTTTTCTAAGAAACGGTAAACGCTAGAAAAGAAATCAAAAGCGTATTTTGAAGGTCATTGTGTTAGTAACACAAATATTTGTACAACAAAGGCGTATTGTCATGGATACCATTGCTATCAACTAACATTTAATTAGCTGCGCGTGCTACTAGGGCTCATCACAGCCGGCAGCCGCCATCTTGTTGTAGATTAGTGAAAAATACTGGCTTCACGTAGCGGCCAACATGCTCCATCTATTGGTCTTATGTGATCGTTGCTCTGTACACATCCACAAACGCACACAGGCATTCATACTGTGAAAACCTCTTTTACCTAACCCGCCTTGTTAAACTTCCCAATCCCAAGCGTGATGTATACAACTTCTTTACTTCACGAGTGAAGTAAATTTTCAAAAACTCACTACTGTAGGTGAAGTAATGAAACCCATTTAAATAACATTGATTGCTCAACATAAAAAATATACCTCTATAGAGTCAACGATGTTCAATGCTAAAAATAAGATGTGCGCTTGAATTTTATTGCTATGCTTTAAAGAATTATCCTAACCTAGCTTTTGTTTGTAAAAGAATGTTACAGTAGACTCCCTCTTATCCGGACTCCTTGGGACCGAGGCCAGTCCGGATAACGGTTTTTCCGGTTAAGCCGACATCCCCAAAAACTCATTAAAATGGACCGTTTACGGTGATATTCGACTTAAATTTAGGAGAGCATTGTATGATGACATGTGATCACTGGTCTCAAATCTTTCCCACGAGAACAGTCGTTACAGTACCACCCACTTCCTGCCGATCTAGTCCGGTTAAAGAGATGTCATTTCCGTCGACTGTAGTCCGGTTAAACCAATGTCCGGTTAAAAGGTGTCCGGATGAGAGGGAGTCTACTGTACTGTTAGAATTTGTTTTGCCTCCTGGATTGATAAAGAGTAATAATGATAATAGGTTAAATACCTTATTTACGTCTTCAATCCAAATCATCTTTTTATGATTACTATAGTTTCAGGGCTAACGCCCAACTTAAAACTTTTGATGAAAATAATACTCCCTCCTTAAACTATGTAAGGGGGGGGGGGAAGTAAAAAAAAAACAAATAATAAGATCGTGTCCATACCCAATTATATAGGGCCTAGGCCTACGTACAGCTATGAGCTATTTGCACAATCAACTGATATCACAACCAGCTTTCCTGCTCAGTAATAAAGTTTAGATAAATCTTTAAAATTCAATGTTATATTTCAATCTGAAAATGTTTAATGTAATTCTAATACTTTTGCAGGTTACATTTGGCATTGGCTTCTACTCAGGCGTTTACGCGGCACAGAATTATGAGGTAAATTAGTTTATTACTCATCTGCATTTTAGAACTGATGGTTTTGAGGGAGCCTTAAAAGAGATGTTTTTGTACTTCTTACACTTGACAAACTCAGGAGAGGATGAGCCAAACAAAGTTTACCGGTATTTGTTTAAACTAGGAAAAAAGAAAAACTAGATACTGTATCAATAAAATGAAGAATTTAGAAAAATCGTACAATAGACTCACTCTTATCCGGAATTCTCGGGACTGAGGCCAGTCCGGATAACGGTTTTTCCAGTTAAACCAACGCTCCTACAAACTCGTTAAAACTGACCTTTTAAATGCGTACTTTATACAGGATTTGACCTAATTTTAGGAGAGCATTGTATTTAGACACATGTTCACTGTTCTAAAATCTTAACAACGATCCCCAGTCGTTTCAGTAACGCCTACATTGCCGATCTAGTCCAGTTAAACCAATGCGCTGATAAGAATTGTCCGGTTAAATGGATATAATTTCCGCCGAGTGTAGCCCGGTTAAGATGGAGTCTACTGTAATTCTAATTACCTGTTCTATGACTATGAGTGTATTTTATTAAAACTAAAAATCATACAGCTTTTATAAAATGTAGCAGTTTGACACAATCATTTTCTTTAGATTGTGTAACCAATACCATTGAAAACCATTGAGCCATTGAAAACTCCAAACTTTATATTACAATCAGTTGTTTTGTAAATTCCTGTAAGGGTACCCACTAAACCCTGATAACCGTTTAATTTTTAATTTTATTTTAACTGTGAAAACTAAAATAAGGGATAGAGTCTCTGTAGGCTACATTATGTACATAAAATTTAATTAGGCCTATAGTAGTTTACGCGATTGTGTCGAGATAATGTTAACGACACGAGTAGAAAACCTAATGTACGAGCCTTGGCGAGTGCCTTAAAAACTTCTTTGAGTGGATCGTTAACACTATTTACGCGAGTTGTGTACACTACTTTACCTACAACAGTGTTTTAATTAGTAAAAATCGCTACTCATAACTTCTAAGAAAGGTTATATTTTATATTTTCGTTTATAACCTCTGATTGCCACTGACAGTCATGCAACGGAACATTGTACCAAACACTAATTGCACACTAGCGTCTCATTTTCCTCGTCCGAAACTGATGAGAACCTTTTCTGCGAAGGAGTGGAGGATTGTGGGAGAGCCCCTCACGTCGATTTAGGTAAAACTTTAAATTTATTTTATTTTATTTTTTTAATTATTACTTTTTAATTATAAAATTAATTTTACAATTTTTTGTTACAAATTTTAACTATTATAACCTAACCTAACCAAACAAACTTGCTGATAATATAAAACAGATATAAGATAAAAATTGAATGAAGTTTTACTATTTAAAAGAAATAGTTCTGTTCATAAATAAAATTATAAATGTCTCAAATTCTAACAAAAGATGTACAGTTAAGAAGTACTCACATTCTGAGCAAAATCAGTTAGTGTCCCCGGCGGTATTCGAACTGGAGAACTCCAGAACACCAGTCCGAGACGCTATCAACTACGCCACGAACGCCGCTGGAATCAAATTGTCTCGTTACGGTAATGGTGTTCCCTCAAGAGAAGAGTGACGTCACGCCCCCCACTCATTCTCTAAAGAGGTTCTCATCTGTTTGTGACGAGGAAAACGAGGCGCTATACTAATTGCACCACTCAACAATTAAATTGGCCTGAACAGCTTATTAGTTGAAGTTTGAATCATTACAATTTTACTTCTTCTTACACAATCCTTGAACCTCATTGGTCCGTTACCCGTGTTGTTATGAGTAAAACTATGCTGTTATGAAAGTAAACAATGCTGTTAGGAAAATTTGTTCAATTCTGAGAACTGAACTGAAACGGCTACTTTAAAAAACGGTCGTAGGTAAACTTATTTTTCTTTCCAGTACTTACCTTACTTTACAGGTCCCTCAAAACTTTTGATATTGCACTCATGGGTAGTGCATATTCATATTTATTAAGTTTTAGTCTTGATGCTATTCATGTACAAAACAATAAGTATATTGAATAAAGTGAATTTGAATCTGAATGATATCAAAAAATTTTCAATTCACAATACTGTACTTTGTGACTTTTTCTACTAGTTTTTACGGCAGTGAAATTTTTCATTTTGAACCTTATCAATCAAAAATATAAATTTACTCTAAAACTTTGTGAACAACTCTGACATATTCTTTTTTAAGTGTGTTTGGGAACCCTGTTAAAACTGATAACGATAACATGGGAAACTAATAACAGTTAAAAACTTGGGTTTCAGATTCAACGAGTAGATGATCCAACAACACTTTGGAACAAACTTCTAAAATATTTAGAAGAAAAGGGGAAAAAAGACTGATAATCAGCATCACATTGCAAATCATTTGTTTCCTAATTGTGTTTGAAGTTGTAGATTTTGGGAGAGAAGTTATACCACAATAGTTGTAATTTGCTGTACTTGGAATAATAATTGAGTTTTAAATTCTATGCTCCATGTAAGAAGATTATTATACATTGAAATGTATTCGTTTGATTCGAGTGAACAGCCTGAAATACAATGAGTTAAAATTATTCACTATGGTACAGCAGTAGGTACCAAATGTGATAACAATGATGCTTTTCTTAACATATTTTAATCAATCTTGGTTATTCATCAATCCTTGACCTAAAATTTGAGCTCAAGAGCATGAAAAATTTCTCATAAGGTGCACTTGTCAATTGTAGCACCTAAGTTTGACTATTATTAATGCATTTAACTTTGACTTTGGCTATTTGTTAAAACTAACAAAACTTATGAGTTCAATGATACCAGTGATTTGTTTTGCTTCGTAGATCTGCCAATAAAACATAAACTAGTCACTTATTATTTGTTATTGAGGCCTACCCTACTCCCAAAAGATGAAATTGATTTATAGACTACTCAATACTCAATTCACAATTTTGAATATGACAATGGCACTCTACTGTTTATGTAACTAATCCCAATAAAATCTTGTTGATTTAAATAATTTTTTTAATTATTTCCCTCACTTCACTGTATCTTTAAAAGTTTATCATTTAGCATTACTACACATGCCTATGATGTAGAAAAATTTAGGGGTCATTTAATATGACATAATGAATCTCATACATCATCACCATGAATATGACTCATATTCACGAGTACCCCTTCATTACCTGGGGGATGTGATTGTTTCATTTTTAAAAGTTATCTTAGAAACTTTTTTAAATAAAAAAGAAACATAAGTTCAAGCTGGTATATTTTATAGGCCTTCATTTGACGTATGATCCATTTCCTATCCTGCGACTGTTATGGGGCTGAAAAAATTGACTGCTTTAATGCAAAGTTAATGCAACCGTTTCCTATCGAGCGTCTACAGCCGCGCGACTGGACTGCCCTGTGAGCAGTTCAGTCGCGCGGCTGTAACGAATTTATAGTTTATACATACGAATTTTGAGGTGTGTACCTTCATAGATGATTCAAAGTTGATGGAACTGGTTCGTCACCACCCATACGTTCACCCCCAATACTTGAAGAAGATGTCTCTGAATAAGAATACTCTCAAACCCTATTTTCACCATACCATGAACAATGGATTAGGTTGTTCATTGTTTTTTACCATGCACATTAATAATTCCGTTTCCTCCTTTTCTCCAAGTAATATATTTGCTGCCAACTGTGCTTATTCCATGACGGTCAGTAGTGCAATTTCACTAGTCCCTAGTTGTTGGAGTCGCGGCAAAGGAATTGAGACAAGCGTCTCCAGCCGTACGGCTCTAGACGCGCGGCTACAGTCGCAGGATAGTTTACTGAAATTAAAAACGACAAGGAAGTAGCTTATTATTTTCTAACAATTGACAAATTAAAACTATGAACATAAAGGGATTTGCTGTTCTAACTAATTGTTTTAGAGTATATGTAATGCATTAATGGGTAGTTGCCTTATGTGTGTCCCACAAACATTTCAACTAAAAAAAGAGGCTGATTCACTTATCAGTGTTTTTGTCAAAACATAGCTTTAGACAGTGAACTATTACTTACAAAGTGTCAAGTGAAGAGTACAGTGTAGTTGTATTCTATTATAATGTGCTATGACTGTACATTGTAGCAGGTGGGTGAGACAATTATTTTTGTTATCCCTGACGCTTAGATACGTCCCAAGGCTTTAAGGACATGCACTTTGCTGCTTTTTATTAATTAATTTTTTTAAGAAGTTGGCACATAGGCCTTAGACTGTTCATGAATTGGAATGTATCCAGCAAGGAGTGGTCATGAGCTGTTCAAGAGTTTAAATGCATTGATAAAATGTAGTGCCAGGCACCAGGATCAGAACCCATGCATGACCTTCGATCCAAAGTACTGTACCACAAGAGGTAATTTTCGTGTAAAACAAAGCTGGCATAAGTTTGGCAAATGGCATGATATATTGTTAGTTCTATGATTTTTAACAAATTTGCAATAGTTTACATTATTTTCTAAATTATCCGACCTTAAAATCTCATGAGATCCCGTCACAGCTGGTTAATTGATGGGGTCCTAATAAAACATCTATTATTTTTTTTAACAACTGTACTAAGCTAGTCATTCACAATACAGTATTGCATTTTTGCCAAATAGATCTTCCTTCAATTAATTTTCAGGTTGGACAGAATAACACATTTATTGGAAAATAAAGTTAACCACCTCATTATAAATACAACAATACTTTATTACACTTGAATGATAATATTACCATTGAATATATTTATCTCAGTGCAGTGACACATCCAAGTGGCTAATTTTTAACACAGTTACACACTAAATTGTATATAAATGTAAAAGTAATTCATAAGAATGTCTTTGGCCGAAGGTTATGTGAAGACTGCGCCTCCACCACTGTACTCCATTCTTATTTGAGGTTCGACAAATGCGAGCCAATCAGAAGTGTGAGTTGGTAACAGACCCATGAACTGACACTTGTACAAGGCCAGTGCGATGTTGACAATATTGCCGAGGAAATACACAATCTTCTGTCCGGCAGCATGGCTCCCTTCAATCATCTTGAAAGCTTAAAAAATTAAATTGAGTTAGGCCTATACAATTTATTTCACAAATTTCCAAAATATAACTATTTTACTACAGTTTATATAGTGTTACCCTATCTTACTACTATCTCACTTCAACTATTTGTTAGATAACATCAGTAAGTGATAGCCGAAGGTTTCAAATCAACAGGGCACTTTGGTATTATCTAGAGGCCACTTATCATTGAGGGATTTTTTACCGGAGTCCAAAAATAACTACATAATTGGAAAGAACATACTTTAATTGACTTTATGTCCAAATTTGACATGATTACGATCAGCGGCCTCCCAGAAGGCAGCGATGTCGTCGAGGATTGAGTTGAATGTGTTGCAGCCGCTAGCTGCCACATGTACTCCGCCAAGTAGGTATACAGCGTGCTGCGGCGGTTATGTTAGGTTGGGTGATCATTAATATTTTTGTGGGTCTTTCCTCGCTTTGTTATGAATTAAACGATTCCAGATCAATCATCATTCACGCTCTGGTCAACGACCTGACCTTGGCCTATTTGGCGGGTGAAAGTATGACTCATCTGGTATTATTCCATTCATAACGAATCAAGGAAAGTCCTATAAATGTTTTTATGTTAACCCAACCTAACATAACTGCCCCAGCACACTATATAAGGGTGGCCTTCGAATAATACCAAAGTACCTAAGAGGGTTATTGTTAAAGAGGAAATGGAAAGTACGAGTCAGGTTATTTTTTACAAGCTATTTTAAGGTTTGTGCTTTAATTTTTGGTTATGTAACAAAGATCAAATTAAACAGTTAGGATATTGTCTATGATTAGTACGTTATATTTGGTTTTAAGTCTCAGTTTTTAGTTTTGCTTGATTAAAACTTACTTGTTTGCATAGTGAAGAGGGCTTTAATTGGTCTAATGATCAACATCCCGACCATCATTATAGGGAAAATGGATATTGAGTTTCCTGCCATGTACATGATGAACAGGTTCATTGGCACCTGCAACAACATCACTCTAGATAGTTTCTCATGCAACCATACACAATAGACTTGAATTTCCCTGGAGGAACAAGGAAAATCAAGTAACACAGAAAGTAGATTTAATGGATTAACGGTCTATTTATATCTATTTTGATAAACTGTTTGTTTTGCTTGCTTACAATCCAACTATGGAAAAAATTAATCAGCTATTAAATTTAAAAATTCATAATTTAAACCGTGAAACAAATTTGTTTACAAGCACTGGATCTTTAAAAGTGCCTTATAGGAATAAAACAAAAACTAGGGAAGGGCTATGCCTTAAAGGACCTTTTTATATTTTTATTTAGGCTACTTAACATTAGTTCTTGCGCTACATCATAAGCTTTAAAATTATACTAAATCGTAAAAATCTGTTGAGTAGAATGAGTGAAAATGGTTGTTACAGAAAAACCCCTTTATGAATTAAGTGTATGGATATTTAAAAAAATAAATAAGTTGTGAGCTGTGTACAAGACTACTTTTACTTACTTGCCTGCCAACATACTTACTTGCTTTAAAGGTCCGAGAGCTAAGTCCCAAGATTTCTTGATGATTAAATGGTTTGCATCATTCTCTTTGGAAGTTTCAGTATAAACCTGGCCCACAGAAAAGTTGTACCCTGGGGGTGAAGCCAGGTCTGCCGCCTTTTCTTGTTTACATCTGTCAATGTCAAAGTAGTTAGTTAGTACTCTTTAACCCTTCATAGGTGTCAAAACAGAGTTTTCCTCTAGGCAGTTTCAAGAGTTAACCATACATAACGCCCCTCTTTCTAGGAATCGGTTGAACATAATTTTGCTCTCTCCCTTCCCCGAAGGCCTATTACCCCTATTGATCAGTTACCGCCTAATAGTCATGTAGTCAGGTTAAATAATTGGTAATGGTTTAAGTTGTCCAGGTAACTAATTCTCACTTTGTGGATGGAATTTTATAATTTAGGGTACAAAGTCATAATTTAGAGTAGGCCTACAAAATTTAGCGGTTAAGGAGAGAAGGGCCGCATCATACTAAGTCGAATACTGTAGTCATTTTTGACTCCAGGACACTAGAAACAGTGACTGTGGCCAAGTGGGTACAGAATTGCAGGCAATCATTAGTGTATATGGTATAAGTGGCTGCACTTTACTTTAGGTCCTACACTCATTCGAATGAAAATATCGACTGTTTCATTCGATATATCGTTTGGTTAGTTAGGTAAGGTTAACCTCACCTAACTTACCAAACGATATATCGAATGAACGATATATCTGTTTCATTCGATATATCGTTTGGTTAGTTAGGTAAGGTTAACCTCACCTAACTTACCAAACGATATATCGAATGAAACAATCGATATATCGATTGATATTTTCATTCGAATGAGTGTAGGACCTAAAGTAAAGTGCAGCCGTATAAGTTATAGATATTTAAATATTTAGACACTAAAGATCTATAAAGCAATAAAAGTTACAAGGGAGCGTGATAGTGAGGGGAGCTTAAGTTATCATGAATTCCATTCAATTACCTGCAATTCTGTACCCACTTGACCAGTCACTCGTGCCATACTCCTACTACTTACTTCAATCTCCATAAACCCTGACTTTGAACGCTTAACTTAATTATAAAATACCATAGGTACATTAACTTACCTAATGTCAGAACAGTAACAGATTAAGGGTCCAAAATCAAAGTACTTACTGTACCTCTAGTAAAGTTAAAGCATGCCAATTATTGGTTCTGATGGCGGTTTAAATGAGGATTATTACAGTGACTAAGAACTGAAGGGAAGGAACTACAAGGAGTCGAGCTCATAATATAATACATATTATAAAATAACTTAGTTTTGTTTTAAAAATAAGCTAGCCCTGATCTAATAAGTAAATGCAGATTTAGGCCTAACTTTGTTTTGTAAACTTTTTTAATTAGGCCAATGGGAGATTTTTCAGTGGGCTTTAAGTTAAACCATTCAATATCAGTATTAAGT